TCTAGACTTTCAAGTACCCTCTATAAATCTACAGTGTTAAAATATTTTCTTGGACACTTTCATTTTGGGTCATTTTTTTCTTTAAAAACGGTACAAAAATCACCAGAATCACTGATATATATATTCCTCTTTAAGTATTTTCTTTATATTCTTTTTGTTGTCTGTCTACTAATTATTTTGGTGATCAATTGATAATGAATAAACTTAGTGATCAAGACACATTTTTCCCATAGGAAAAAGTTCAGATCTTTGTCATAAAAAGAAACAACAGAATTAAATATGTAGTTGTTACTACAGAGATCACAATAACAGAAACAAACATGACCGCTGTTGAATAGTAATCAATGAATTATTGCTCTAAATGAAGAGAACGGAAAACATGCAAACATGTAAAATGAATGTTATTTGCTTAAAATAGAATAATTTTTTTTTGTACAACGGAAACATTTGTTATAGTAAAGTTACTAGTTTTACCATATTACAGAGGAAACAAAACAAAACTAGCGTACAAGCTGTATTCATTCCTCTTCTTTCTATAATATATTCACTAATAACATGTATCTAATTTCAAACTAAATCATGATCATTCTTCAATTTTATCGTTGAGATTTTCATATAGGAACTATTCTAATGGTCGCTAATATTATTTTCTAATATACGTAGTCGAAATGAAGACGATCAATCTACATTTTCTTTTTGTACCTAAACTATCATCTATTATCTATTAATACTTATTTGTCACGCTGTCTGATGTTAATTTTATGTTCATTGTTAAAACACCTAAAAAAACAAAACAAAAAAACATATTATTTTCGTGTTCTGTTACACTCAAATTATTCAAAAAAAACAAAAAAAAACCCATTAACTTATTTTAATCAAAATAGAAAAGAAAATATTATGTTATTATAGAAAGAAAGATAAAGAATGAAATATTTTTCTTCTTATCCCAGAACACAAGAATTATTTGAAACACGCAGTGCATAATAATGGAAAAACTGTCGTGTAACAATTGAATTTCCGTTCTATATTTCTTTTGTATAATGAAACCTTTAAACAAAAGAAAAATTGTTTTTGGATTACTCTCATTGGAATTTGAACTATTTTGGTAATTATACAATGGTACAAATTTGACTAATAATGAAACTCTGAAATGTATGATTTTGTTTTTTTGAGCGAAACAATATCTAACTGGAAAAAAAAGAAACGAAAGAGTTTTTTTATTCATAGGAGCAAATATTCATATTTAGATTTTTTTTTATACAAATAACAGAAAAATAAGAGATTAGTTAAAAAATGGCCATATATTGTTCATTATTTGTTTTATTTTTATTTATTATTGGCACATTTGGTAATTTATTATCTATTGCCGTATTTCTTCGTCATAAATTTCGTTCACGTTTAATCACACCAGTTTTTATTGTTCTACTAATAACAGATTCTATTTATTTTACTCTTCGTTTAATTAAATTAATTTATTATAATCCAGCATTGTTCATAAAATATTTAGGTAAATCGTGTACATTTCCAATTATTATTAATATATTTTATTTTATTTCTCATAAATTTCATGTTCTATTTAGTCCACTTGTTCATTATGAAACTTATATACGTTTTTCATTAATTTTAATGGCATTTGTTAGTATACAACGTTGTATACATATAAAAAAAACAAAAATAATAATTAATTCAAATAAATGGTCATACATATTTATAGTACTTGCTTTTATACTTACATATTTATTTGAATTTTTTGGTTTAACAATATTTTGTTCAAAAAAGAATAATCGTCTTTTATTATTTAATTGGTTTAGATATACTGTTCAACATTTACATAATTATACGAGATTATTGACAATGCAAATGATTAATAATACAAATGATTATGAATGTATTCAACAATATATTGGACATATTCGTTCAAATTCAACAGTCTCTTGTACCAAAGAACAACTATTGAATATATTAGGTAATATGAATGATCTTGTGTTTGTTAATATAGCATCACTAAACCAATTTTTAACAATAGTACATGTATTATTGTTCGAGACTGTTATAAAATAAGTTTCTATGTTTTTAAACTTGCCTAGACTTTGTTCACGTGCTGACTTACTACCGATGCAACTTTACTCAACTTTTTTTCTGATCTAAAATATAGAATTTTCAAATAATTTGCACTCTTCTTCAGTGCGTCCAATATTGTTTTCTACAATTTTATCAAATTTTGATGTCCATCTAACAAGTCAAATATGTCCATACTGTAAGAGTTCCGAAGAGCACTTTTTTCGTTTGGCTAATTTAAAACTAATTCTAAATGAGCAGTGATAAAACTTTCAAAAAATTAGTGATTTTCGGCATCGATCAATCACGAATAAATAGTCGTTTACCCTTAAAAATGCCATGTTAGATTCTCGAATTTAATTTTAAAAGAGTATGAGCTGTTTGATCATCCAAAAATATTACTTCAAACAATCATAATCTTCGAATATAAATGATTGTTAAAGAAAGATGGTTTAGATCTTCGTATACCGAATGTTATTTATCTCTTAGCTAACGTACAATGTACAGAAGTGTGTGGAATGTGAAGAAAAACGAAAGGGTGTACTAACTTTCTTTAAACGCCCTTAACTTTCCACTAGTATGACAAAAATTGAATGAAATAGTTAATATAGTCTAATATTTACACGGATATTGTTTCATACCAATTCGGCATGTTCAGTATTGTCATGGTACTATCAGCCAACAGGATTGTTGGCATATCGTAAAATTATTGAACGTAATTTACTGATGAGAACGATAAATACTCAATTGAGCCAACGGTTGAATTAGCTATTTTCTTCCACATGTATCATCCCATGAGGACTTTTTTGATGGAAAAAGTACGATATATCATTGCGTGACACTAATCGCGACAAACTTAACACATAACGCGACAAAACCACACATAGCGATGAATTGGTGGATATGTAACACCACGATACGGTATTTCATCATGATCGGTGCCATGCCACGATATCTCTGGATAAGTCTATCGAAGAAACCCTGATGGGCTATTAGTGACCAAATACTTTGTCAACCAATAAGGATAGGAAAAGTCAAAGGGCGTTTAAAGAAAGTTAGTACACCTTTGCATTTGTATTCATATGGAGTCGAAATAGATTTGGCTGGAGTTTTTTTGCAGACGAGTTGAAGAAAAATCTTCTTTGCAAGTTACTTATTAGCATAAGGACATGACTAATTCGAAAATATCTCAGCTCAGGTCTTTTCCGTTACCGAGATAAGAGGCATTATTTCCTAAAAACTGGCTCTTATTTATTGTTTCAAAGGCAAGATTTTTTGGTGAAATTGATTATTTAGGCAGCTGTAGCTTTGTACTTAGATTCTCTGGCAGTTGTAATTTTATAAAAACGTCTTCCGTGGGCGGCGAGAGCGCGCAAAGTTTCCAAATTTTGGACTTTTCCAGTTTTAACCATGTCGGACTTCTGATTTTTTTCACGATTTCTACCAATGAAAAGTAAGCTCGCACCTAGCAACACGTCTCTATACTGTACTCGAGCTACTTATGGTTATTTTATTCATAAAGGTATGATTATAAGTAGCCGGCAGGAAAGGTAGTTATTTTACGGATAATGCCT